GTCCCTTCTCTCGTCATTTTGCTTGCAGCAGAAAAGAGATCGGAAGCGGAACTGACGGCAGATTTGCATTACACTCTATTCTGAGGGCCACCTTAACCTCCACTACCCTCGACTCCACGTACCTTATTCAGTACGTACTCGAGTGAAGTGAAGTGTATTGTGCCGTTCGCCTTTTTGCTGGAATTGCTGTTATTCACTCGTCTTTCTGGAAGGATCAGCTCCTCTGGAAGTCTGTGGTAGCTCGGCAAGTCCTCCCCCCAGTTACTACGGCCATCCAGGCAGGCAGGAAACCCACGGGCAGCCAACAACTGAGGCGGGGGTACCTTTCTCCCACCCATTGAGTTTTTCACTTCGCCCGGACCTACACACCCTGTCGAGTTGGTGCAGCACCATTGGCTACTCTTAATTTCCCGCCAGCACCAGGTCAAGGGAAGCTTAGGCTTCTCCCAAGATCCCGATCATGGGTGACCACTCAGAGGCCATCCAGGAGCACCACCACCACCACCACCATCACCATCACAGCGCAGTGGCTGGCGAGATCCCCGTCCCCCACGGACCCCAGGCCGACGACCAGAGCACCACAGACACCAATCCTGGTTCTTATCCCGACCCCAACGCAAGCCCCGAGGAACGCCGCATCTTCAGCCATGTCACGCGCCCGGACGACTCCTACACCCCCGAGGGTGTCTACTGGGCCGACCTCCCCCTGGCCCAGCGCCTGTCCTTCGTCTCCAAGGTCGACCGCGAGGCCGCCAAGGAGGAGCTGCAGGCCATTGGCAGCATGATGAAGAAGGACCCGCTGTCCCCCATCGGCTGGTACTTTCGAAACGCCGTCATCCCCGGTGCCGGCCTCGGTCTCGAGGGCTACGTCCTCTTCTCCATCGGTAACCTGGAGCCCCTGTTCGAGAAGGTCTGGCCCCAGTGCTGGAAGACCCACGAGGTCTGCACTAAGAACTGGACTGCCAGTGTGACGTACATGGAGATTATCGGCATCATGGTTGGCCAGGCCGGTGTTGGTGTAAGTTTTATGCTTGTTTCCCCTGGTTGTTTTCCCCGCCTTTTTCAGATCTGCCACGATTCCTTTGATTTGACCTCTTCCCTGTGCGGGGAGCTGGGTGAAATGAGAGTGAGAGCGGGCGTGAGATGAAAAGACGAGGGGCATTTTGATATTATTTTTCTGCTCATTGAGACGAGTTTACTGACCAAAATGGCGTCTAGGTTCTCGGTGACTGGGTTGGTCGTCGCTGGGGTCTTATTCAAGATGCCCTCATCATGTTTATCGGTCTGCTCATGCTTACAGCCAGTTGGGGCCTGACCCTCCAGGGCTGGGTCATCTGCTATGCTTGGTCTCTGTTCTTCTACAGTTTGGGTGTCGGAGGCGAGTATCCCATCACCGCCACCTCATCTCTCGAGAACGCTGCCGCTTCTGGAAGACTCTCCACCAAGGAGGACCGCCTACACCGTGGTCGACGTGTGACTATGGCTTTCCTGATGCAAGGCTGGGGCCAGTTTGTCAACCAGGTTCTCCTCCTTGTCCTCCTCGTCATCTTCAACCGCGGCGATGGCAGCCCCCCATACTCGGCCTCTGCAGCCCAGTATGCGTTCCGTCTCTCCTTTGCTTTCCCTGCTGTCGGAACTGCCTGGCTCGTCTACTACCGTACCTGGAAGATGCCAAACGCGTCCAAGAAGCTGGCCGAGGCCAAGAGCCGTTCTCAGGTCACCGGATACGATGTTACCGCCCTCAAGTACTGCATTAAGCATTTCGGCGGCAGACTCTTGGCCACCTCCGGCACCTGGTTCTGCAACGACGTATTCTTCTACGGTAACAAGCTGTTCCAGGGCCAGTTCATCAAGGTCATTTCCAACAACCCCGACTCTCTGGTGACCACCTGGTCCTGGAACCTCGTCAACATCACCGTCTCCATGGTTGGCTACTACCTCGCCGCCCTCCTCATCGACAACAAGTTCTACGGCCGCAAGACGATGCAGCAGGTTGGCTTTTTCATGTGCTTCCTCATGTTTGTCATTCCCGCCTTCCGCTACAAGTACTACACCTCCCCCGAGGGGATCCACTCTTTCCAGGCCATGTACTTCATCTCGTCCTTCTTCAACCAAGTGAGTCCCCCTTCCCCCACAACAAACAAAAAAAGATAAATTAGATAAATTACTATTTCTGGAACCGAACTAACCGCATTTGGCATAGTTTGGACCAAATTCGGTTACGTTCCTTGTGGCAGGAGAGGTCTTCCCTACGCCTGTCCGAGCAACAGCTCATGGCTTCTCGGCTTGTATCGGCAAGTCCGGTGCTCTCTTGGCATCTGTCTTGTACGCGTACATTAGCGACCAGACTAAATTCTATGTCGTGCCCTGGTTTGGTCTGGCCGGCATGTTTCTCACTTGGATGTTTCTCCCAGACACCACTGGTCTCGACCTGAAGGAACAGGAGCGCCGTTGGGCTTACATTGTTGCTGGAAAACCCGAGGAATACCACGGTGTTGCCATCAATCCTCATCACCTCAGTCTCTGGGAGAGATTGAGGGGTATTGCGAAGCCATACGATCCTAAGCTCGACTGGCAATCCAAGGTTGAGGATATGCGTGCCGAGTGGGAGCGTGTCCAGGCTGAGCGTGGACCCAAGGAGGAGGGCGATGTCCACCACGGAATGCCCGAGGATGGAGAATTCACCCAAGAAATCCACGACTACTTCATACGCTCAGCTCCTCAAACTCAGGGCGGAAATGGAGGTGTCTTTTCTGAAAAGGCTGAATAACCACCCGTCTTCCCTCTCGAGAAGGGCCTCAGCCTTTTCAACCAATATTCGCCTCTACATATCATTGTTCTCCTTACTTGTTAATATTGATTCACTTGGAGTTATTTGGATAGCATTCACTAGCACAATTTTCCACTCAAAAAGCTGTTGAACATATATAGTTATACATATCAAATGCAGCCACGGGCTGCAAAACATCTACCACATTGTGTCGTATTTCCCTGCAGTGTCTGGAGTTCAATGCCATGGATGTGTTTCGTCTAAGTCTCGAAATTAATTTCCACTTGTAAATAATGTGATATCCAAAAGTCATCGAGGCGGCATGGTGAATGCCAACCATGGCCCGAATTATATCTTTACAATGCTCGTCTGCCTTTCTTCTTGGTTATCTCTTCTCCCCCACCGCCATCTTATGTTATTGATTGTCTAGAGCAAACTAGACACACCAGTCTTCTGCGAGCCGGCAACTGAGACTGCCTCGACATTCAAAGGTACTGCTGGCCGGACCCAAGTGACTAGTCAAGCTGTCATGGGTCTCTTCACCACACGCCTACAACACTTCTCTCTCTCAATACCAGCTAAGAACATGCCATGCATCATGCATGCCCACTGCCACATACGACCACGCCCATGCGAAGACACGCGATCCCGTCGATGTCTCCTCAGCCGGTGATTTCCCTCCCTTTTGTGACTCTCAGTCACTCTTAATTTTGCTCTGATGCCTGTGATCCATTTAGCTGGCCATGCTCGACATAACATATTCTGGCCTCACCCTAGGTACGTTATGTGACAATAGAGTTTGTGACAGTGGCGCAAGCTACATAATGGAGACAGTAAATTATAGATAAACTTGTGACTCTATGAGTCACATTGTGTTTGAAAACTTTAAAAGAAAATCCTGAAAAGGGTATATTTGGCCGTGATAAAAAAAATACCCATCCTATAACATACCGCCCACGTCAATCCCTTAGCACACTTCCTCCAATACCATCTCGGATGCGGCCTCCATACGGCCATTGCCCGCAAAACACGCGCTGTCACCATCGTCACCCGGCTGAAGAGTCGGTCTCAAGTTTGTGATCAAAATGAATGTGAACCTCCATATATTTCAAATCCTGCTTTTTTAAAAGGTGGTACTTCCCTATGGGATAATACCCGAACTAGATCTAAGACCGCTCTTAGTCGTTTCAATCATGAATTATAAGCCGAATTTTCTGTCCGAGAGTTTAATTACAGAGTCAATAGCATGATTATTCCCTCATTGTCTGGCTTATTGTCCACTAAGTGTCTGGCTTATTATTTGGCAAGTGTGCGGTTATTGTTAGTGAGGCATCCGCTCTGTCTGCCACGTTCTGCCAGACATGGTTGATTTCAGCCTCTCTATGGATGAAGAATTTCCAGTTGGCCTCCACAGAGCCTAATGTACCAGGATTCTCATATCCAATTTTGGCTTCCCTTTTCTTTCATCTACTGACATGATCGGCGAGGTTGAGCTGGGCATATATGAAAAATTTGGCATACTTGCTTCTGGAGTGTCACCAGTCTGTTAAATCATACGATATTCTCAAGGTCAAGAGAGTAAAAGGAATATACCGAACTAAGGCGCTAGGACGGCATTTGCAGGCACGAAAAGAGGTATGAGGTGTTGAGTCTAAGCTGTACAGGGCAGACTCAGTTGAGCTGGGCCTGAGACAACACCTCCATAGCAAGCCTCAAACTACCTGAAAAGAAAACGTTTGTCACTCTATTCCTGTGTGTTTCATAAGTACCCGAAGAATAACATGGCAATAAATGCAAAGTACCCATCTCCAGGCAGTCTGTAATTAGAGATGATCCCACCATAGTGTAAGCTGCTTAAATGATTACCTGATAAAAGAGACTCCCCGTATCCCGTACATCATCAATGCTATGTAATCTCAAGGTTAGCCTCTCTATAGAGATATCCAAGTCTTCGGGGTAACCTGCGAAAAGCCCAGAATATCGCAGTAACCAGCCAGTAGAACTAACCAATAAAGTGCAGCGCCAGCCGCCATGTTTCGCCATTTAAATGTGTCGATCAGCGTGTTAAGCAAGCTGTATCAATTTAAGTCGAAAAAATATCTGCTACTAAGCAATGAAACTTGAAACATGAAATTCTAAAATGTGCAATTCCCCTTTCGCATGATTTGAGGTATCTGACTGCTCTTTGAAGACTTGAGAGCATTGCATGGTATCTGCCACTTCCACCGAGATGTACCTGGCTGTTCTCTATGGTATGCTCTTGCCTTACATGGCACCTGCCACTTCCACCAAGATTGATGCGGCATCTGGCAGTTCTGTCCAGTCTTTTGCCTGGCATGGCGCCTGCCACTCTTTTCTCTCTGGTGTGCTCTTGCCTTCCATGGCACCTCCACTTCCACAGAGATGTGGTGACTGGCTGCTCCTTCCTCGCCAATATGGGCTATAAAGTATTCAACTCCAGAAGCGTTTCTTCTTTGTTTCTTTTTCCTCTTTTCTTCTTCATCCTCCAGCGATCGCGTCTGCCATCATCCTCCAGCACCCGCTTCTGCCATCATCCTCCAGCACCCGCTTCTGCCATAATCCTTTGGTGATCGCGTCTCTCATTATCCTCCAGCATTTGCATTCCTGAAGTCTTAGCCAGCGTGCCCACCATGCGATCATCTACCTGACGAGGAGCTTCAGAGGCCCGAGTATGACGATTTCCACTCGGATTTCCTCCCTGACTCAGAAAATGAGGCAAGTTCGGACTCTGAGGTCGAGATTTGGTCAAAGCAGCCCCGAAAAGATGGTCCCCGAGGTGCTCTACCTGGAGAAGCTGCTCGATTGATGCTTGAATCCGCTGATATGGCAAGGCTCCTCGCCAAAGAAGCTTTGATCGACTCGACCTTCCATGCAGCACCCCGCCAGCGGCAGAAAAACCACGATCTATGGGTCGATCGTTTTGAGACATTCCGCAGAGAAGGTCTGCAAGTCAGAGAGTTTGTTCCTAAATCATATACTGGGTATGAATATCTCTGACATTCTTTAGCCCAAATTCAGGCCCAACTGCAGATGAGATAAGGCAATTTTCATCTACACCGTTCCCCGGTTTATTCAAGGACGTGGATCAGGTGAACATCATCCGCCAACAAAGGGGACCATCGAGGACGGAGTGAACCGCATTATCGCCCATTGCCAGTTCACATACGAGGCCTTTGTTCTCTCAGAAGGGGGCAAGCTGAGGGTTGGTATGTCGACAAGACCCCTGCTTTCTCCTTCTGCCGGTCCACTACAAACTTAAATTCCATGATCCAACTCTTCCTTGACGAGGGCAGCTTAGTACACGAGCCCGAAGGCGATGGACCACTGTTCATTACAAGTCACGATATTTATCGTATGAGCACTGCAACTCTCCAAGAGCCCCTAAGCGAGGGGACCCTGAACCGGGATATCACCATGCACCGTGTTCTATACCAAACGGCGCAATCCACACTCTCTGCCCGATGCGGCGATATTTTATCTGCCTGAGATGATGAAAAGTGCCTTCGATAAGAAGATGTACGGACTGTCCATAAGATCGTGGAAGACAAGGAAAGTCTGAGCTATTATTAAGTTGCGCAACTGCAAGGGAACTAGGTGAGCAAGCTACTCGGTGACACCCATGCCCAACTCTACCAGTATTGAACTTTCCACTGACAACAGAGGGGTCCCAAAAACTGAGAAGACTGTCGAACTTGGTCAATTACATGACGTCAAGTTCAACTCGTGTTGCCTCCTCTCCCTGTTAGTAATATAGGCTCTACGTGTTGGTGCCATCAAGGAGACGAGTTGGGAGGAATTGCTCTCAAATATGAGATAAAGGCCCTCTCATGCTCTTGTGTGGAGCAGAGCAGAGATTCCAGTATTCTGCTCCGAAGCAACCAAACGAACACTGAAGCTTAAGACGCCTGGTTCTACTAGCTTTGCCAAAACAATGCTCTCAACTGCGGGTCGAACTGCAGGTCTTCTCGCCATACCTCATCCAGAGGACACGGAGAGGAAGTGAGAGAGAGCTTGCCCATCTCCCATCTCTTGGCGGCAACAATTAAGATGCTGCACGGAGGGCTCTGGGCTATACTCGCAATTCCCTTCAAAATGGAGTGAGAGATCTCTACGCTTGGAATATGTGACTGGCGCTGAAGCACCCTTTGCCAGGAGAAAGTCATACACGTGTTTACTGCGATGAGAACTTCAAAAAGGTTAGGGTTTCAACTGGCCAAACTGATGAGATATGTGAAGAGTTTGGATTTGACCCGCTGGATAACAGTAAGAGAAACGTTTGCGTCACAGGGATCGTCTTCACCGGGAATGGGTCAACGCGAAGAAACGCGAGAGCCGAATAAATACGCCATCCTCTGGGCAGACAGTGATGTCTTCATTGATTTCTTTCGTTCATCGATGAGATTTCATCTCCAGTTATTAGGGCCTTCGGAAGGATTGAAAAGGGGCAGGACAGTCTTACAGGGAAATCATCTAGAGATTACGCATCGCGCAAGAGACACCCTTGCCGCAATCCGAAGTTTGGCTGCCATGGCACATATATTTGATATCCCCATGAGGGACCGACATCATTCATATATAGCTCAGTCGAGCTACCGAATGACCTTTATATCTGTCTCACTTGCTTGCCTTCATATCGTGCTTCTGTATTTCCGGATGCCATTGTAGAATACAGTTTGAAGGGCAAAAGATCAGAATAAATCCTCAGTGTGGGAGTAGCCGATCTCGAGCCCTCAACGCCGCTTTTAGAACAGTAAAAGACTTTCCCATCCCTATCTCTTTGACTTTGAAAGGGCCAGTGGATGCCGGTGGCAGGGGCCAAAAGCCACCGATGAAGTTCTTACTTGTAGTGATATGTATTCAAGACAAAAAGTAGTTTTCCTGTTAACAATACTAAACACAATAATAAGGAAATGATACATTATTCCGTAATCTTTAGCTTGATATTGTGTTTATTACTACCTGGTTAATTGTTTTAATATGGTATTAAGATTTGGTTGTAGGTGACGTTTTATGTAGTCGTTTGGGAGCTATTATACCGTGTTATACTTGGACGAGACAATCATACGCCTCACGGCCAGACCCACTGGCGCTTTCACAATCAAGGAGATCAGGTCGAAGCGTAGACAGCCCGCGAATTCGGACTCCAATATCCTTAACATCTTCTCTGTGCTAGTGCTCTGATGTGGTAACGGCACCGATGATAAACCAAGAGACATGTCGTTGCCCTGTCCGCATGTAATCAAGTCTAAGTCGCCCTGCTAGATTCAATTAGTACTATTCTTCCCAAGAAGAGCTTCCCAGGCGGAGGCAAATGCAGAATTGCTGGAGAGAAGTACCAGAAGTTGAGTGTGAAGATACCCATAAGTGTACGTGACGAGGGTCCTCAAGCAATCGTCAAGACCTATAAGCTCCGTCCATGCGAATACCACCAACCACTGGCTGGAGGGAAATATTCGTTGAATCTATCATTCTCCAACGATGAAGCTCTCCGTTTTTCTGAGTCGTATCGCTGAGCGTTGCTGGAGATTCTGAAATGAAGTCAAATCGTAGAAGATTTCCTTTCGAGGATGGTGAGAATAGACTGTTACGATCGTCTCGCTTTCTTTCAAGCGCATTCCGCAATTCGCGAACACAGTTGGTATATGCCTTGTCTCCCTCACGCAAGAGTCTCTCGAAGCCGTCCAAGGTGAAGCCTTGACAGGTGTGACGGTTGCTATTGCTGTAGATGAGGAAACTTGGTGCCTTGCTGCTGGGTGGTGGGAAGCTGAGGAAATTGGGATGAATATGAGGATGGGACGAGATTTTATAGGAGTTTGGGCTGGGTTGGGGGGTTTGGGGGGACCTGCCGTTTTGGTGGCAGGCACCTTCCTGCGCTTGTGACTGTGTTGTGCAAGTGCACGGCAGGAGTTTGTGTCGACTGGTTCTGCCTTTCGATTTTTACAGCAGGTTCGTTTTGCTTCAATTTTGGTGACAAAAATGAATTCCCAAGAATGTCCAAGGCGAAAGCTGTCTACTCAGTCTCCGTGCCTGCTCTAAGATTCCTTCCCCCCTTCTTTCCCCTGACAAGGGAGACAATAATTTTTGTCCATGAGATTGTCCAAGGACTTTCCAGCCGCTATAAAGAGCCAGCTCTTTTCAAATCTATGATTCTTACAATTCTTCATCCCCAAATACTTTTCCAGCCGCTACAAGAGTCCCTCGCCCAAAATGCCATCAACATATATACCACTCTGGAAGCAATTTGGTTTTAAGAGCATGGACGAGCTAAGGAGATTCTACTATTACATAAGAGCCAAGGAGATCGAGAAGCATGAACAAGAGACGAGGGAAAGAGATGAGCGTGAAGACGCAGATAGAAGGAAGAGAACAAGCGTGAGTGCCGCCATGAGCCCCCGGTATTCAGAGAACCCGTGGATGACCCATAGCTAACGGTTATCTCTGAAAGATGTCTTCCACAGCAGGCGAGACTGCCTCCGAGAAAGACGAAGGATCCTCCCAGGTGATGCCTGAGGAGGAGGAACAAGATGCGCCATCTAAAACCTAAAAGGCACCATGGAGTAGGTTCATGATCCAGGTGCAAGTGGCACCATAGCAGGCCGGCATCATGTGCTAATATTACATTAGATTCCGGCCTCATTCAGTAGGGAAAAGCTCTGGGATCCTTAGGTGGTCAAGCAAGGTAGATGAAGAAGTCCCATAGCAGTATCAATACATTATCGAGTTTGTCGTCATCATCGGCATACTCATCCACCAGCTTAGCCTTTCGGAATCCAAAGTGAAGATGGTCGTTTTTAAGGCATGAGATCATTTTCTCAGAGCCACTCTGAGCATTGACGCTCTATGAATGCACAGCAGTAAAATAGGGCCCCAAAGCCAGCATTGCCCCAGGCACAATAATCGGGCACTGAGTCAAAACACAATAATCATCAACTAAAACGTAATAACCATCAGTCAAAACCCAATAATCAAGCACTTTTGAAACACAATAATCGATCTATAAATACTCACCAACTCTCAGCTTGCCCATTTTCAATCTTTCCACCCAACCATTCATTAGGTTCCTCAGCAAGCATGTCCACCGCGCGCTTCGCCTACAAAGAACAAAATCTCAAAATCCCCGGCGTTGCACACATGCGCGGTTTCACACAGAACGAGTCCTTATTGCGATCCTCAATCGGTATTCCCCAAATCACCTCGAAGCAGCACATGTCTAATTTCGATCCAACGCCCCGGCATTTGATGCTCTGTTGGAAAGCACACCCTGATCTGTAAGAGCCATCTATTGCCTTCGACAAGGGATATGGAATTCTCGACTCCCAAGTCTACCCACAAGAGGTCAGACGCCTTCTGAGGACATTCAAAGAGCCCAAGTGGTCGGCAGCCAACGAGGGACCCTACTGCCTAGAGGCAGAGCATTCCGCACCAACAAGAACGGCTTTTGCGATGTAGCCGCGGTACAGATCGGACGGAGGTTCTCAACCTAGGGCCAGAAATACGGCCGCCCGTCCCAGTAATTTCTTGCGACGGGAATTGTTCAAGAGGCAGGCGTTTGGGCATTTGACCAAGGCGCAGCAGTACGCCGCATGTCCCGCCATTTTGAAGGCTCATGAAGGCTTCCCGTTAAATACATTAGCGGCAGATAAGATACAGCGGGTGTTTGAAATTTTCCTGGCCAAGAAACGCATGGATTTACAAACCAGTGTGGTGATCTATCGCGAGGCGTATTTGGAGAATTTCGAGTATCTACCCGCGGCGATGCTATTCTTGGAGGACAGAGACGGATTCATTGGCGACGATGTCGATGGGTAAGTCAGTGCTGTCATAGGAGCTCATGCCTGAGACAGAGGCTAAACTTCCATTTAGTCACCTCTATTTTACAGAAACAACAATATCCAGTTTCACTCAGGAGGAAAGTGAATCTTCTGAGGCAGAAAAGATACTCAACCACCCAGTTGGGAATGGCCAAGCCACGATTGGTATCATTCATAGCCCAAAAGCAGCCGTTTTAACAGCTGGTGGCTCTAATAACGACAACTTGTTCAACTTGAACCCGACAGATGAAAACTGTTTAATATGGTCTGGTTGTTTCTCACGACCAAATGCAGACTCTTCAATCATCAGACCTGGGGAAGCCAAGAGGGATGACTTTTCCACACAGATGACGAAAACGATCACACTTATGATCCCAAAAGAGGGGATGTTGAACTGGTTGATAAGGTGTTAGTCGAGGAATTTGCCGGTGATCAAAATAACGAGAGGATGGTTCATCGTACACGCCGGAAGACTCGGGCAGACGCTGGGTTTACGAAGCAATGGAAAGATAAGCTTCAGGCATTCCCAGATGTGGAGATCTTCTCACCTCGCGTCACAGCAATCATGGGCACTATGCGAAAAATCGTCAAAGATTACCCTGGAGAGCGGATCGCCGTTATGTCCTCGTCTATTCTCTTCCTTGACGTTATCCAGGAGGCTCTAGGACGCTCATCCAAGGTGGGAAGATGCACTCCGGTTTGAGGTTTCTGAATACAACGGAACCTTGAACATGAATCAGCGAGCTAAGACGATGGCCGACTTCAATGAAGCCGACGGCCAAACAAGAGCCCTACTTGCGAGTTCTGGCGTTGGAGGCACTGGCGTAAATATGCACGGCGCATCTCATTTGATTCTCGCAGCGCCAGTTTGGACGCCTGGCGAGAAAGAGCAAGCAAAGGGACGAGTGCGTCGGATTCCGCAGAAGCGTGAAGTGCATATATGGGAAGTCGTGGCTGATTCCTCGGCTGTTGATATATACATGCTGGAAAAGGTCGTTGAGAAGACCCGCGTCATCAGTACGATTGAAGCACATGTTGTTCGAAAGGACAACGAGGTGATCATACCAGCAAAGAAGCCGGATTCTCGTCTCCTGGGACACTTTCTCCTCAACGCGCACCAGCTGAAGGAGTTGGACCTCTCATGGACAAGCGACTGACATAAAACATGGCATGCCCAGAACCCCCAGCGTTGAATTACAACATAATATCAAAACAATTAACCCAGCAATAAACACAATATCGAGCTAAATATTGTAGAATAATTTATTATTCTCTTATTATTGTCTTTAATAAAGAATGAGGTCCCTGACTTGCGTGAAAAGAGCTTTAGTGTGCCGTATTATAATGTGTATTTCAGGAAAACGAAAAAGCGTGCAGTGAAGAATACATACACGCGTAGAAATAGGCGTAATTAGTTTTGCCTTGAAGAACCTGTTAATACGTGGTCTCTTCTCAAGATTACTATTATCGTGGCTTTCTCCTTTTGAATCGTGTGTCGTTCCATCATCTAAACTTCCCAGCCGGCCCAAAAAGTTCCAAAATCAGGCGTCATGGCGACTCAGAGTTCATTTGTGAAGATTTAATTTCATTCTGTGTCTTATGCATCATCTGTCTCAGCTGGTTCTCCCCGCCGTCGAAGAGAAAACAGGGGGGGATACCCGAGCAACTACAAATCGACAAGGTGATGCTATATTTGGCATCATGACACGATCAATACATCAAATGCTACCCGTTCATACATCTCTACCCTCATCAACAAGCCATATTCTTGTCAAAATCGAACATTTGACCGAGCCTGCGTCTCGCCTGGTTGACCCAGGCAACGACAAAAGCAATATCCCCTCCAAGGAGGAAGAACCTACAAGATGGCCAGAAGCACACCGAAAGTGCTGGCCACCAGAGATGGAAAACTGACCAGCTTGTTAATCCCGCGGCTTCCCAAGGTCAATACTAGCAATAGCAAGGAAGGCTTGATCAGGTCTACTGCCTTGGCAGGGCCTACTGAGGCTTAATAAAACACAGCTCGCTGCCTTGCTCAACTTCGGTACCAACCATGGTCTCAACATCCATGACTCCCTTGAAAAGGAGTCTTTAAGTGGCAACACGGCAATCAAGATCAAGAAGAACTACAACCGCTGTCCGAAATTCCTACTTGAGAAGTGCAAGTCGCTGCGAGACGGTAGCGACAACCGGCGTAATCTCAAGCTAGATGAGAACAACAGCCGAGATTGCCTAGGCTAACAACAGACATACAACTAGGGGAGGAGAGGAGGAAGATACATCGATTATCTAGAGCCACTACTCTTCGACAAATGCGACGTAGCAGTCATATATGAGAGCAAGATCCAACAAATCTTTAGCGATAGTTCATCCAAGCTTATCGTTGAACAGTTTAGTAGATCTCTCATGGACGAGGACAAGCTCAGACAAAGTATAAAAGAAAGCCTCTCAACCGGAGATATCACTTTGGGGGGGACGCGTCGTGTGTTGGACCATTTTGACGAATGTGATGACGAGGAGCTCGGAATGCTGAACAAAAGTTCCACCAACAAGGAACTCGAACGCCTGAGTCGCGAGAACAACCGACTTCACAAGGAGAACGAAAGACCCCCTAAGGAGATTAAACAACTCAGACAGGTCGATCACCGAGTGGCAGGGAGATAGACAGCTTGTGTCCCCCTCACAGAAACACTATTTGAAGGCGAGAGAGCGATACAAACACCTGGAGCTATCATGTCCTTGGTGAACGTGTAGAAGTCTAACCTATGGCCTAAAAAATACGACCACGGTGCATCATCCTTGACGATGGGCGCTGCACACCGGACCAGCTCTTGAAGTTTGACATCATCATCTGCAGCGAAGGGTTCTTCAAGCAACGCACAAAAGAAGCTGAAGGTATGAAGGTAAAGCATAATATATAAACAAGATTCAGTGTATTCTCTTTATAATTTATTATTTGTTCTCAATAATCTGATAATACTGGCCGCAGACTTAACAATAAGCAGTATAACATTTGAGTATCTCAAATTCAATGTCGCTCACTTGACCCCCAACCACCGTGGGTGCTTTCGATCTGTATACTTGGGTTTTCAGGTTCATTATGTGTCAGTGAAAGCATCACAGAGCTTTACTATGATTGAAAAGTTGATTGCTATGAACGAACCGAGGTTAGGTATATTATAATCCTATTGGTGCATGCTCATGGGGGTCCTAAAATCGAAAATAGCTACTTGGTGAACGCTAGAGTGTGAAAAGAGAAAAGTCAAACACAAACGCCAAAAACTCCATCATGCATTCATACATTTCACGTAGCATCAGATAATACCGAAAGTAGATTTTCCCCCGAATCATTTTAATGCCAGTCCATTTTATCGCCACGTACAGCGTTGCCCTCTCCTCGACTTCTGTAGGTATCGGTCGAGCTGGTGGTTGAAGGCGTCATGACAGAGGAACGACTCACTGGATATGCAGCAGGTCCGGCGTTTTCTGTTTCATGTTCTTTTTTATGATAGTGATGGTGGTGTTGAGCTTTCTCTGTTGGGGCATGCACTGCAGACCTGCTCGTTGAGTTGGTGACGATGACACTGAGGACGCACTCATCGAGATGCTCATAAAACTCCTGCGGTGAAGCAAACCCAATCTGACAGATCGAACATTTAGCACCCGAAGATGAATCGGGTCTACCACCAGACATTTTGAAGCCTTCTGTAGCGAAAAGCTTTCGGCTGTTTAGGGGAGCTTGCTCAACATGATGAGAAGTTGTGAGGTGCCTCTTGAAGACATCTGCACGGTTAAATGTTTTTTCATAAACTGTCCCAACATTGGGACAAAAGGGGCAAGTCATGGTTCCCTTGTAATGTGTCAAGGCGTGGCGGTTCTTGTCGTATTTGCGGGCAAATCCCTTCACGTGGTATTCACATGTATCAATCGGGCACTTCTCCGGCCTTTGCTCTTGGTGTGTGAGCATATGAGCTGCCATATCCTTGAAGACTCGACCACAGTCAGGATGGGGGCATTTATTCCGAGGATCCCTCCCAGATGAACGTGTTGGGCTATCTTGGAAACTGCCTTCTGTAACTGGCGATCCTTGATATCTTGATCCTGATGGCACTAAATGGATACGGGACGGGTCGTGGCTGGCCAACGCACCATGGGCATCGCTTGCTAATTTCGATTCCTGGTCATCCCCTCCGCTCGAAGTATCGTCATCTGGTGTTGCATCGGCGGGCTGTCGCACTTCCTGCATCCAGTCTTTCAGGAGACTCATTGGGGGCCAGTCGCCACTGGCTTTCCCGCCTCGGTTTGGGTTAAAATGGGCTCGTCTTAGATGCGCAGCGGCATTGTAATAGGCACCGTAATGCTTCTGGATTAAGCATGCCTTGCATTTGGAGAGCGGTATTGCAGGCTGTGGTGCAGTCAAGTCACGGACGTCAGGTTCTTTGCAAACCCATCGTTTGACCATTGCAGCATGCTTTGCATCTACGTGGCGCCTCAATTCGTGCTCGCCCCTGAATCCCTCAGGATACTCGTTGCATTTCGAGCAGTACACGCGGCGAACTGGGAGTTTAGGGTACGTTCTGAACTTTGGCAGTGGTTTCGGCGAAGCGAGGTGTCGGGGGTTGCGTGGCGATGTGGGTGAACCTCCCACCGTGTGCCGTCGAGATCTATTCGACTTTACTCGAGGGATATTCAAAGAATCTTCAGGGCGAGATGCCGAGGCCTGCTCTTCTTTCTCGACATTCGAGCCCATCATGATACCCGATGGATGCCACAAAACACCTGAATGTCCACTTTCCGGCTCAACCGTAGCGATCGGGGGCAGTTGGATCGTGACGCGTCTGCTAGCATCGACGGTCCGTTGCCGAATAAACCCGTTAAATACGGGGTCATCGGGCAAGCCATTCCCGAGCCTCATTAGAAAATCGAAACTCGACGAAATGCGTCTTGCTGGCCAACTATCCCACCTAATCACCCGTCTGGCGATGCCCAGCAATGAAAGCTCATCCGTAGACAGTTCATTTGATACAATATCCAAAGGCGAGGGGCCCGATGCATAAAAACAGTCCACAATGGCCTTGTAGGCGCCATTCATCGTGCGGAAAATGCCCTCAATAGGAGAGCCAATATGCTGTTGCAGACTATGTGGTGAAATCGTCGTCATGTCAACGAGTATTGTTCGTACAACACTAAATATGCAAAGTGAGTAAAACACAGAGAGCCAATCCTTCACAGACAGGCTATTTCCGGGCGCTATTGTCCGGTCGAGGGATTGGAGGTAGCGAAGCAAGCACTGGTAGATGATCTTCAAATGCTCATGCCCATTAGACTCTTCAGGGGGCGTCGCATCACGCTGACTTCCCCCCACACTGATCGCCGAATCAACGCGAGGAATATCGTATTGTGCCGTTTCACGCAACAGTAATTTGGCAAGGTAAAGAGAAGGATAGATCGCCTCCTCGGTGGTTCGGTTTGGAGAGAGAAATCCAGAGACCTTCAAAAGCTCCAACAAGTCATAGGCCGTGTCCTGGCAGTTTGAGCTGGATGCGAGGGCACACAGCACGGGCGGGGCTGATATGGACGTCCCTCGAGACAGATCTGCTGCGCTGCGTCCTACCTCCTGGTCTATCAGACCTGACCACCAAAAGTTGTCATGGAAATCGAGTTGCTGATCCACAGCTGCGATAGTGGCGGTGTCATAGATCCATCGTCTTTGTAAATACTCGTTGGTGTTGGTTCGATGCAGCAACGGCGATGCTACAGGAGTACCTGCGTTATGAGGTGACATTGGGCCTTTGGTGTGTTAATTATTGAGAGACGGGGGCGAGGGAGAGGTCATATTCGTACCTGACAAGAATATATCGGCAAACGATGCCAAGGGACCTCGATAACATCCCAGAGCTTTCCAGTGTTCCTCATGCTCTGATGCTGGGGGCTCCATACAATTCGAGCAAGGATGGCCCGCGTCACACTGGATTTCGTTAGTTGAAATACTTCACAATGAAAAAGGGGTAATCGGAATGTCCGTACTGTCTTGTGCAGAACCTTACACCGTAGGCAAGGCTCGGGGTTGCGCATGAGGTGAAGCTCGCCGATGGATTGTAAACGAGAATGGCCAACTCTGCTCCTCTTCATTGGCGGTAGTAGAGGATCGATGTCAGACTCGGCCGAGCCGCGTCTTGTTCCCGGCCGGCTGCTTGGGAAGGAAAAGCTTCCAAAAGGCTCGTGCCTTTCACCATACAACCCCTGTGTGTTGAGTGGAGGGAAATTGGCCATTGAAACCGGCTGTGGCAGGCGGAATGGCACCGTGCTGGTGAACGGCTCGGGCGAAGCAAGCTCCGGAAAGAGCTTCTCGGGCTCCATAGGCGGACTGCCATCGACAGAAAGACCAGAGTCTCTCTTGGGGGACTGGGATGAGTGGGTGCGTAGATGGTCGTCGCGGTCGGCCTGGGTAGGGAAACCATATATATAATGCATACACTGATCATTCCAGCACTTGTGAGAGGATAGGGATGGCAATGGTGTTTGAGATGGTGGGGTGTTCGGAGGAGTTGTCTCTCGGGCTGCTGAGGCGGCACGGATGATCGGATCGTGCAGTTCTAGGTGTTTATCAAGCCATAAGGCGAAGCCATTCGGGGCATCTTGACAAGAGAGCTTGAGCGCATTAACCAAGTCAATGGTAGCTATGATGCAGGAAATTAACAATTACAATCAAAGGAAATAGTTACGGGGTAGATTTTCTACACATACGATCTCGCAAGCAAGCAGCTTCAAGACACTCGCAACGATATTGTACAGCCCGGGCCTCTTCAATTTCGGAGAGTATTGGAATATAGGGGTCAATTCCTTTTGTGGAAGGGGGTAAATGTTAGCCAAGTTGAGCCAATAGCACGATTCAGAGCTCAGTAAAATAAAGCAAAAATAAAGCAAAAAAAGACCTGTGTGTGGGCGAGAAGGAGGGGGGAATTGCAAGTACATGTCGTACAGAAGTTTCATGACTTACCATGCTGGTTGCTGAAGTTTTGTACAACATTCTCGAGAATGGTGCATTTATGGCGGAGCATCTCAAGTTCTACCACGGGATCAAACCCCCGTTGATTTGTTAGCAAGGAGGCAAGCCTCACTTGGATGTCGGCCTGCTGGCTGAGCAGCTGTCGAATCTGAGATTCGAGATCCGGGTCGACCTCGGTGGCCGTGGTTGGGGTGGACCTGGACGCAGCATTGTTGGTGGTGTACAGAGTGCTTCCGGAGGTGTTTGTGATACTGCTGAGAGTCTGGTGGTGATACTGAGAGTGGACGGTTGAGAACGACGCGCCCGACGTGCCTGCCGAGGCAAAGCCTGGACCTGGACCTGGGGCAGGAGCTGGGCCTGCGCCTGCCGAAGCGGGGCTCGCTGTTGCCGTCGGGGTGAATTTAGGGGGCGACGAGGAAGGCTCCGACGGGCGAGTCGAGGATGTTTGGGAAGGCAGCCCGGGCGGCAACAGACCAGGCAGTTTGGGCAGAGGCAGTGTCAGCGGGGCGAACTCAGCCGTCTCCGGCACTCTGGGGGGTGCTTGTGGCGGCGATGGAGTGGTGGACGACGACGATGACGAGGCCGACGAGGACGAGGACCTGGTTGTGGTTGCGAACGAGAATGAGAACGGCGCCGCCACTCCGTGCGCAGGAGCAGCAACGTTTGGACCTGGGGCAAGCGCTTGGTCCGCTTGTGCCAGGCTCATGCTTCCCTGAGATAGCAGTTGGAAGCGCTGGTCGTTGACCATCCCGTTCCCAGCGGCACCTTGCTGCCAGCAGCGAGCTCCTCTGTTTCCTTTCCCGTCCCAGTTCCTCTCGCTCCGAGCAGTGTGATGTAAGTAAGTTAGTAGCTCTCTTTGGCTCTTCTGGTTCCCGCCCTTCCTAGATCCGGAGCTCTTCCTCCGACAAATCAATCAGAACAGTGAATAGACACCCGCGAATGGAGTTTCCCAATCCTCGGACCAGCGAGATGCTCTTGATGTCCTCTCCAGCCACCTGTATAATCGGTGGATTCAGTGTTGTGTCCGGTGATGAGCTGGAAATCGCTTCTGTTATCAAAACTAGCGAGTATAAGAAAAATGCCGCCGACAACGTCGCCTGCAGCGATAGACGGTGGTCAAAGAAGATGAAAGTGTTGATGCACGCCTGGGTAAGACAGATCCGTCATGTCAAACCTCTACAGTATCCAGATACGTCAGGCGGCTCAGAACCTGATTCAGGGCGTGATCCCGACGCCTGTAAAAGCCACAAGGCCGTGGCCATCTGGCAGTTCCGGACTGCCGGAACTCACTCAGTATCGGAGGAAGCTGGGTGAGCAAACGAGAGATGTCAAAGGGGACATGTGACTGTTTGGGCCGCGACACAAAGAAAAGGATATATATACGAATGGGAAGGGTGGGAAGTTGGCTATAGTAAAACAAGAGAGAAGGGAAGAAGCAGGAAAAATAAGATCGGAGGCGGGAAACTGACGGTTGGGCTTCGGCCGAGATGGGCTATATCTATCAACCGCACAGGCTGGCAGTCTCCCTCGCGCTCTCGAGCATCCCACGTTTTGGGCTGGAGTCTGCTCCGAACCCTGGCGTCGTCTGACGGCTCTCTATGGATTGTTTGTATGGTGCTTCGGCAGCGACCATACTCAGGACGGTTGATTGTTCGCCTCCATGATCCAGGAAGAGCCAGGGCACGGATCTCAGACCCAAGCTGCAGGCCTGGAAAGTCGCCTCCTCCTCTACGCAGCCCAGTTTCGCTTCTGGAACCCGACCAGCATGGGCCGTTAAGCACCCACCAGGGGAGGTAACGTAAGGCGCGGTTGAGGCGAGAGCAGATACATCCCCCCAACAGCAGCGACATGCCGCAGTACATGGCTGCTTACAACTTTACTCGGACATCGTGGGTCTCGTGTGTAGACGCGGTGGGCCTGGGCGAGTACCATCGCCAATCCCACGCTACACTCAAGGTTCCTTCTTGGCCTGGGAGGGGGGAGGGGAGCCGTGCGTGGGCCAGTCACATTTGAACCGTTGCCAGGCGGGTCAATCAATCTTCATCTCATTCTCCCCTCCGCCGCGCTCACAGTCCGGGAGTGGGGACGGTTGCAGCTCCCGTCCATGACTGGACAGCAGCCTGCCTGTGGCATGCAAGTGTGGACATGCATGCATGAGCCTGGTTTCGCACGTAATGGTAAGTGATAGGTAAGGTGAGGCAGGTTGGCTTGGTTCAATCCAATCCAATCCTTTGCTCAGGACCGACCTAATTGATCCATTTCGACCACCCGCAGGACACATGGGAACTTTGGCGGGCAAAGAGGGTGAGCATTACCCTACCCCGGTTGGGTACATGGATCGCCAGCGAGAGTGGGCATGCCATGCCTAATTCCTTACACCATCTCGACGGCTTCTTTCTCGCGAGTTGGTTCTTACATGGCACTGCATTAGCAGATGGCAGGCAGTGCCCTCGTAGTGCCCTCGTGCAATGGTAGGTAGTCACGGCTGCGTGCACACCCTCCGGTTCATGACAGACAGACAGAACCAGCCAGACTCGCATGCCACACGACCATTTCTGGATGCAGCTACCTACCTAAGCGTATGCTATCAGTCGCTTGCATGCAGCGGTAAGATATAGATGCCCTTGCCCCCCGACCATTGGCGGCAGCTCGTTTCAAGATGAGCCGGCCCTCTCCCACGCGTAAGAAAGCACACAGCAGTTCCAGCACCGCTCGCTGTGTAACAACCACCCCCGGAGCATCGGGTGTTTGGCCTGGCACAAAGCACAACTCTGTGGAGCCCTGCCTGACTGGTGGTAGCCGTTGCCCGCCATTTTCGTTCGTTGCGTGCACTTTCAAAGGGTCATCAAGCAGGACGAAGCCTCCCCTGCCCCTCCGACAGCCGTTTCTTGTGCTTCTCGGGCTATTATACACTCGGCACAACTGGTGTGCACAAGACTACCATCCACTTGCTTAGCTAGGTCACAGGCAAAGCAATCGAGGGGGGTGGGGGGGGGCTTTGATAGCTTCAATCCCCAGCGTGCACAGAATCGAAGAAATGGAAAAAAAACATGCTATTTCTCACAAACCCCTCTCCTCCATGGGGCGAACTGAACAGTGGCGGCGTTTGTGTTGATCCCCATGCAATAGAAGCATGCCGCCCCGTGTGCAGATGGAAAACAATCCAGCCCAGCAACAAATTGAGCCCAGAAACCACATACCCAGTGCAATGGGACGGAGCAGCGTTATCGGGCCCGCCGCGCGTTTGCACCCTGCACCTCGCCAGCAGCCTCTCCCACTGAGGCGGGCTAGATCTGAAAAGGCAAATGGTGTGAGGCAGGGCGAGACAATCCTCAGGGAACGGCTTTTTTCCCACTGGCGTAAGACGTTGGTGTTTCATCCACCTCTCCCCCAACCAAAACGCGCCCCGTTCCGTCTGCACAAGGACCCGACGCGCTCTTCAGCTCGCCTGGGACCCCGAGCTTCAAGCCCGCCAGTCCGGCATCGCCGCCCACCGCACCCACCAGATCAGATCAGATCAGACCAGGGCGATATCTGAGTGAGTGCTAGGTAATACGTATGCATTTCGCTGGTTCTTTCTGTCTCGTCTTCTGCCATGAATCTCTCGTACCGCGGCTGGAAGTGCCTCGCTTGACAAAGGAATGACCAACTCTTTGGCAACACTGCTGCATCTCCGAGCCATTCCGTCAAGGAAAAGGATACAGCTAGAAATGTCTCCCACCCGCTCTCTTGGCCAGGTTTCAACACGAAGGAAGCTCGGCCAAAATGGTGTGCCTAGACATTCTGCTGCCTGTTTGTCCAAATAGCTCTCAGACAGTCCTCATACACAAGTTCGCAACTTGGCCACATAGTGCTATTATATTTGTTCGTCTATTATTCATGCATTATGTACTACCAGTTGTCTAGCTCTGTTTCCGTGCGGGCCTTTGTGAAAGAACATCCCAAGACAGCAAGAACCAAGCTGTTCAACAGATAAGAAATGGGAAGATGGTGTCGCAAAACATAGCTATGGAAGGAATTACAAGAATAATATGCCAATATGTCTTTGATAGAGAATAGAAGTGAACAAGTGGAAATGCACATGCTTATGTCTCTGCTTTTCTCCATTTTGAAGTTCGAGAAGCTGAAAGGGGGAGAGAGGCAGCAGCTTGGTCGTGTTGAATGACCAGGGCCAAACTCCAATAAGGAAAACTGCAGGTCTGCGGTCTCCTAGTTCTTCAAAGCAGTTTGGGCTTTCGGCAGTAGTCCGGTGGCGTCAAGATGCATCTTACCATCTGCTGCTCCCAGCTTTCGATGACGAAGGCAGAAAACTCTCGGAACACCAAATGCGCCATACTGCGCCCGTCTCTCTTCCTTAGCCCTGGAATCCTCGCTTTTAGGCGAGAAAGAGAAAGGAGGCTTCTCCACCCACTACCGGAGCCTCAATTCCCCCATGGAAACTGAACCGCGCGGTTGGGTTCGTTGCCTTGGGCTAGGGGGCCCTGTATATTTTGCCCCTCCCCGAAAACTAAAGCATCAACTCCTTCGCCAAGGTGAACTATTCGTTACGCCACCACGTTCGTTCTCTCAATGGCATTTCTTGACCAGCCGCTTTTCTGCTTCCGTCTTCCTCCGCCTTAAACGCCCAATACTCGCCAAGACGCAGTTCCGAATAGGAGGCGTAGTCGAAGTCGATCTCAGAAATCATGGCTTGTATGCACGACCAGATGCCCCAATAAAAGCCGGGTACGCCGCGGAAGATGTCTACCTCCTTTTCTAATCTGCGTGCCTGCTCCTCCAAGTCAATATCTCCCTCTCCACAAAGTTCCCGGTGGACCTTGACGTATTCCCGAATGAACAGGCGGCGCTGAGAGACTGTGGGCACAGAGTTGTAGTCACACTCATACCCAACCCATTCAGCAAAGTGGTTGGCAACGTCGAATGCTGCAGGTGAAGGTGTAGCGTACTCGTAATCGATGAAGCTCACCACTGCAGGCTCACCGTTCTTATGATCATGCATAATGACGTTGGCGCATAACAGATCACAGTGGGCAAACACCAACTACACAGTTTTATACGATTAGCCATCCATACTGTGACTCTTCGGGAAGATGGGATGTGAATTGGCCCCTCTCCCCCAATTCACTTTTGTCCTGCTTCCTTGGGGGATAAAAGGGAGGAAGGGTTGAGGGGGTGTGTCGAGATTAGGATCGTCATACCCCATTGTCGCCAGGTTCATGCCTTTGGCTGAGTTTCTCGATGAGCTCGTTCAGTTCTTTCTGTAGCAAAGTTTGCCTTTCACGCTCCTGTGGAGTTTCTGTTGGAAGAGCCAGAATCCACTTCTGCATTGTAGTCCACAAATTGGGGATTGGTTTCCCTGATGCCGCCTTGGCGATGAGAGCCTCACTCTCACTGGGCTTGCTTCCATGCCCGTTGACCTTCCCGTTTGTTCGGGGTGCATCATAGAGGCAAGGGACCGTAGCATGCCATTCGGCTAGCCTCCGAGCGATAGCTGCCGTAATATGAGGCTTCTGGAGGTCCTGTGGTTGGGCCGGCGTGCCAGCGGTGAAGCGGTAGAGCATTCCATTTTCAAACCGTGCAAGCAGCTCAGGAGCCAGATTGTGCTTCATAAGCAACTCGTGGTTAGAGGCCTCGCGCTCGCGGTCAATCAGAATATCGGTTTTGTTACCATAGGCACGGAGAAGAATGGCTTCTTGATCAATCTCTGCCTCTGAGAGACCTGGGCGACGGTTGATCGCTTTGAGCAGCGTGTTGGTGATGCCATCAGTGAAGCGTTCGAACTCGAGCCGGGAGTCGCCTTGGCCCCATTCTGGTATCAGGGTCAGAACCAGTTTCGATGCCGTAGCCTGCGAGTCATGGTTGTCGTATCTAAGGGGGAGATAGGGGATCTTCCCCAGGTCATTATGGGTGATTGCAGCCGGTGACATGATGTTGGGTGAGCTATGAAACCGACAATAATAGATTACGGGACAAGTCGATGTGCACAGCTTCTAAGAGAGTGTGAACAGACACAGTGTGGACGGAGAATGAGGAGAATGAAGAAGCACAGGTGATGCCTAGAAGCGCGTGATCGCCTAGGGAGCAGTCATTTCCAAAGGGTGGGAAATGGTGAAGGAAGTCCTTTTTTAAAGGGGGCAGGGATTATCACTTGGTTGTTGGCTGCTGGCTTGAAGATGCGTAGATTTGGGGGGAAAGAAGAACGGGGGGAGTGGGAAGAAAACCACAGTCGCCAGGGTCCGCAATTCGATCAAGCCAAGGAAGGAGCTGTTGAGTGCTTGGAAAGAGACAGGTATCCAAGCCGGAAAGTAGAGAGT